CTAGGTAAAGATGAAAATATATCGGTCTGCAATCCCATTTTCACACATCTGGCCAACATGTATCACGGAGTCGACCCCAAAAAGCCTGTCAGATCGCCGACAGGGCACCAGAAAGTTACTTTCAAGACCTACACCAACGAATGCTGGTAAAAGCGTAGGCAGTGACTACACAATTGACGAATACAGCGCTTTGCTGTCGTTGTCAGAAGAGGTTGGTAGAAGCGGTCTGTTTTACGTGTCCGATCCCGGATGGTAACCGCCCGTTGCCTAAAAATAATGACACTAATGCGTAATTTCGTGTGCCTGGCATACAGACATCGTACATAGCCTACCCACAAGTCCTTTCTCTACCCCGATTCCAACAGTCACATCAAGCGCCGACTTTGTCTTGCGGGCGGCGTTGGAACGAGCATTTTGGCTAACTCGCCGGGATACATAAGATCCTAGCCAGTGGCTCTCCATGTAATTGTAGTTATCTGATGCCTATTTACTTTTAAGGTGGAATCAATTAAATGGCTAGCCAAAACCGTATTCTTTTCGTCAAAATTAATGGTCTCATCTGTCGACTCTACCCCCTGACGCTCTTAACAATAATAACATATAAATACTGATCACTCATTTGCATTAAACTGAAATTCGTACCAGGTTTCTTGGCCTCTGTTCACCTCAGTAAGGAAACCTGCCTTCGCGCACAAAATAGGAAACTGGTGCATTTATTCTTGAAAAACTTCGGTTGCCAAGATTGGACAGGATGCCAGCGGTATGCCAAAAAGTTCGTGCTTCCTCTTCCTCCGGATTAGTTAGGCGTGAAACCGACTGACCGGTCTCCGGAGGTATCGACGGCGCAGCAAAGTACAGTGCGTGACCGATCTGATGAAATGTTGGCCGAATTTCTGAAATGCTTTCTCGATTAGAAAGGATTTCTTAGGTGGAGTCGTAATATTGCTTATCAAGCGACATACTCCCATAGTATTTCAGGCTTGCTGGATTGTCGGCTTTTGAATGCACTTCTTTTCTACCTCTTATAAAAGCCCCTGTTGATAAAAAGTGACCATTTATGTAGCATGAGGTTTTCATATTGATTTTCGATGGTTTTACATATTCATGTATTTTCTATGGAAAACATGCACAAATACATGTTTTCTTTTAATTGTTTGTTGAAAAATAACATTGTCTTTACATTTTATACCGGAATAAGGCGTTTATTTAGGTTTCAAAAAACGTTTCTTATTATGGGATCTTTAAGACCGTGCGATGCCCATACATACGCATCACACCTCTCTGTTTACTAATGTTCCTTGTGAAACTTACAACATAGTCCATATCCATTGCAAAATTTTATGGACTCAACACGGTATCTTCTTAAAGGCATAGAGTAATATATAATGTGTTGTGCGGAATGCATGCACCTGGTAGACTGGAATGCAACGACTGATTTGGCCCCAAATTATTGAGGAATTGGGAAACGTTTCAGGACCTAAATATACGCCTTCTTCGGGTATAAAATGTAAAGACAATGTTATGTTCTAACAAACAATTAAAAGAAAACATGTATTCGAGCAGGGTTTCTATACAAAATACATGAATCTGTAAGCCCATCGAAAATCAATATGAAAACTCCATATTACAGAAGTAGTCATGTTTTTACCCAATGAGGCTTTTATGAGAGGTAGAAAAGAAGTGCATTCAAAAGCCGACATTTTAGCAAGTTCGAAATACTATGAGAGTATATCGCTTGATAAGCAATATTACGACTCCTTCTAAGAAATCCTTCCTAATCGAGAAAGCATTTCAGAAATTTGGCCAACATTTCACTAGATCAGTCTCACACTGTATATCCTACAATGTTCTCAAGAAATTGCACTGAAAAGGCGTTATTGTTTGTTATGTCATCTGATGCAGTTATTCTTGATTTCAACAAAGGACTCCTTCATCTTGCCGCTGTTATGTCAGATGCTCTCAGTCTATCCTTCAGTTTAAATAAACTTTTAGCGGTCGGTAAAGTTTTTTTTATGACAGTCCAGTTTATTTTGGGGTAGGGCGTGGGAAGGGGGAGAGAAATTATCATCCAAGTTGTCGTCTGACGATCATAAAGTGGATGGCCACCAATAGCTGAACATATATATTGGACATGCGTAGGGGTGACCTTTAGCTATCCACTTTACTGATAGGAGGACAGTATGCTGGAACGGCGATAGCGTCTTCTGCGCTGCTGGCATTGACAAGTAATCTGTGGGCTATTAGTTAAGGTTGAGCATACCGAAAACGCATTATTGGCACAAATTCCATTATTAGCCAGTGTTGCCTAGGCGGCAACGAGCTGAGGTTTGATCGGCTGACCGTCGGGAGATTTTTGAACAAATTACCCTGAAAATGCAGATTATATGTGTACGTTTTCTGCTTGCGATTTAGAATTTTTAAAGGCTCATGGAAAAACCCACATGCGATCGATTAACGCTGCCACACTTTTTCATGCTTTATCAAATGCGTACGTCTGTCAGATAGTTCTCAATCTGTTGGCTTGCAGAAGAAACACGGTGATTACGTTTGAGGTGTAGTTGGTAATACTACCCATGTCAACATTCCCAAATGACTATAGACCACGGGTACTTCGACTGTAATGTCCTCTAGCAGATCCCGGCTAATCAGCAACACGAACAACAAGAGCGGCGACAAAATCACAATTCATTAAACGCAAAGAGATTGGAGTCAATACTTTTTTCAAAAAGAACTAAAAAGATGGCAAGAACATAAACAGTGGGGCAGGGGGTGTAGACTCTCACACAGACAAAATTTAAAGTTTGTACAGAAATAGCAAGGACAGTATTGTAAAATATCACCTCAAATTACTCAAGCGGGCGCGGGAAGACAAGCTCGACGCCGTCTTTTTCTTTAGCCATCTTATTTAGTTGGTCGAAGAGGCATTGTTCAACCATGGCGAACGGCACCCGTCTTCCTCCGCTTGGGGAACCGAATATTTCTTCGCATGCTTCGATGGCTTCGTCAACACGGTTACTAGAGTAAAAGTAATCCTAAAAAACCAAGTAGGGTCTCGAATTAAAATGCAAACATTGTTCTTTTATATTCTGTAACCCATATGCTCTTGACTACAACAGGCAAACAATATCCAGACCAACGTGTAAAAATACAACCAGAGCTTGGGTTGTATGCTTTTTTAAGTCGTGAGATTTCATTTCCAGGTAATTTATATATGAACATTAGGGTCACTCGTCAAAGCGTAATTAAAAAAAATCATATATCATTTGGATTTAAGAACCGTGTCATTATTTTGTAAAATGATGCGCGATTGCGTCCGGTGCTTGATGTCGGAAATAATCATGTGCATATCTTGATGTGTTTATATATATATATATATATATATATTTATATTTTGCATAAACAGGGAACACGATGAATTATTGATAAGAGCCGCATATATGGTACCTGCCGGCGTACATTAGGATGATAAATGGAGCATGTCAGAACCGACAAAGAAATCGGAAAAATTGGCATGCTCACCTTGGCCAGCATGTGGTCACTGCCAAATGACATTTTGGCGGACGAAAGGACAACCAAAAACAGAAGTGATGCAGCGATCTTCCGAACACTGTTTCCATTTATAAAGTTTCCACTCATCTTGAGTATTGTCTCGCGGAGGTATACACCAATGTCGGGAAAGGCTCTTCCACAACTTATATACATAAGTCAGGCCATGTCCTTTAACGGTACTCATTGGTCGGCAGCACTTCAACCAAACAAATCTAATCTGGCCAAATATACCTCTCCTCTACGACCTCTGGCAAAGCAGGGGAAGTTTCTGTGATAAAAGCGCAAAACAGAAGCTTGAAAACGGCCAGCATTGTGGGAACATAGGTGATAAAACAGAAAATGTGAGCAGGCCTTAATAAAAGTAATGGCCGGAGTCCTTGTAACTAATGCAACGAAGTCTCTTGCTTGACGAAAATTAGTATCTAGCTATTCGAATTTATGTGCTATTTTGGGTTGCGTTGGCATCTCTTACAGAATAAAAGGTTGGGAGCGAAAATATACAGCCTTCCTTGTCACAAATGGCCTTGCCCGATAAACCAAAGGTAGATTATGGCTGGTGTTAGTTTAGGAGGGTTTGGATTTGGCGTTAAGTACCTTTGTAATTTAGCGCAAGGCCAATTGAGGTACGGGGCGTCATCTGCCCGTGTCCAGCTTCATAACCTTTCTTTCTACTTTCCAGACGCAGATAAAAATGTCGTGATCGGTACTGACTACGTCTAAAGCAAAGTACCTATAACTTAAGGATCTGGGACTAGCGGAGTCTTGTTTAAATTGCGATACTAAGATTGGAGGCCTACACTGCAAAACTTGACACACAGACTGACGGTCACAGCATATGCTGGCAACCATAATTAGCAGAGATTCTCAAGATGTCCTATTTTGTATCTTTGAGCGAAGAACACAGTACGAGATTTTGTTCTGATTGGTCTGCCTTTTAGTCGTTATGGAGCCCAGACTAGGGGCGAGATGAACAAATGGAAATGTCAGAAATTCGTTCGTGCACCAGACAACGAGATATGCCCGGCAGGTTGTTTCATGAGAAGCATTTGGTTGTCACTGCAGGTGGCCACCTAGCAACCGGGAATATATGGCGGAATGAGTACCAACAAATACGGGGGAGGCTGGGATGGTTATTTGTGGCCTGTTAGCCGTCGTCATCTAACCTGATCCAAACTCTCGTTCTACAGAACATGAGCACGTATGCCAGTCTGATCGGGATAGGTACGTCCAACTGCTTCATAACTCGTGGGTGGGGTGTCAGAATTCAAAAAGCCGAATGAACAGAAAGTCTGGGTTGGAATTCCAGATTGCTCAAACCTAAAACTGATTATGACTGGCTGATATCTGACAGTATGCAAAAATTAGCCATACGGATCGCCTTATAATTCACCGGTGCTTTTTTTGAAAAGAAGATATACACTGCACAACCATGTATTGAATTCTAAAAACTTTTTTACCGGAAACTGCAAACAGCTAAAATTTGAAGAATTAAGTCTTCCAGTTGTAGACAAAAGAAATGGAAAAACTAGTGCCTTTTTTTAACCAATGATATTAAAAACAAGTTCGGGGAAAACTCCACGTTAGTTTTCAGAGTGCAATTGGGTTGCGGCAAGACTGTTCGAGACACGACACATGTGATGACCCGGAAGAAAGCAACAGTCTCTATTGCTTTCCTGAAAAACAGCGCTTTAACTTGGACTAAATCCTTGAGTCAGTGCTTGAGTGTTCTATTTTGTTGAAGGTACCCCAAGTACGTGGGATTATTTTCAAAAAAGATAAAAAATTAGGGACTTTCGAACTGAGGTTTTTGCCCGAAAGCGGTGAGGGACCAACTGATGAGTCATAACTGTCACGCATCAGCAAATATTCGGTAAAACACTTGCCTGAGTCTTTGGCTGCTGGCAGGGTGAATCATGCAACATGTTAACGAAAGTTTCTGACCGTGCGATAAACATTAACAACATCTGGAAGGAAATACTACTTCAGAGTAAAAATGGCAATCGGAAAACGACTGCTCTGTAGACGATTTCTCTTGTGCACGACTTTGCAACACAGTGTTATTCAGGAAGTAGGCCAATTCCACTTTAACTCAAAAACGACAGCGAAAGGCGCTCGCCAATTTCTCGAACTAATTAAGTAAGTAAGTTTCAAAACCAACTGCCCGATAAATGAGCAGGTAGGAGCATCTGAAATTGCGTGTTTACACTTGAAAGCCGCCTACCATCTCGGGGTAATCCATATATGCGTTGTCATCAGAAACGCAACAAACTACTCCGGTACACTAATTTTGCTGACTGCCCCAAACGCCGATGAGGTGTCAGATTTTTCTAGTGCTGCCGGTAATTGCAAAGTTTTCCCTACTTTCGCTCGTTATCAAGTTCTATCAGACACTTCGGTAATGATAGTCCGTAAATTAAAATTTTCATTGGCACCCATAAGTCCACAGCGCATGAGCTGCAAGATTATTGTCAGCACTAGTGATGAAATTCAGCAAACTATTGGACTTTGAAGTCATAATCAGGTATAATTCTAAAACGACGATGGCTGGAAACCACTGACTACGTTGTCAAATGCATAGCAGGTGCCATTTAAGAATTAGACTCTATAATTTGCACTGAAAACGATCCTATTTTTGCCACGACAGAAGAAAATATGTAAGTTTTGAGGAAAAGTGGCAGTCACCCTAGCATTTTTAACACGTAAAATAACTATCTGATTGACCATTGCCAACTGGTTTTACGCCCTGTGACTTTGCATTTAGGCTGCATTTCTTAGGACTTGCAATCCACCAAACGCTAAACAACGACGGCATTTTGTGGTTTTCTCAGTGGCCGAGGTCGTTAAAAGCTCGCTGACGAAAAGTACTTATCTTAATGCTCTCTTTTACCCGAATACGTAGCGTTTTTAGTTGTCATGAGCGATGTTATTGTTTTAAGATAAAGATGGAGGCTTGCGCAAGCCCCTCCATCCCAACTCCTCGTCGCCTCGTGGAGATTGGAGTTTAGTGACTGCTGGCCTGAAAGTTCCAATGAAAACTACTTCAAATTATATGACCAGAGACCAAAGCTGTTACGAAATCCGGCCATTTTGCTGCATTTTTAAGGGTTGAGATTGCTGTGTTGAATTAGACGTCTGCATTCAGTGACCGATCTCACGAAATGTCATCCGCAATTCTGAGGTGCGTTTTCGATTATGAAAGAGCAAGCGCTTGGGATTTTAATGTAAATTATCTTGCAGCATAATCTTACAAACTTTCTGTATTGCCGGAGCGTTGGCTTCCAAATGTACCTCTTTTGACCCCCTCTAAAGCCCTGACTTGGAAAAAACGTAATTAGTACGTGTGTTTACAGTTGATGTTTGGTGGCCCTTTGGATTCAAATATATTTTTTAAAAAAAGGGCACACAGTATGCTGCCTTTCACCCATTTGGTAGCAACTTATGTATTCTTCCCACGGAATACTCGAAAATGGAATACATTTTGACTTTAAAATTCTTCTAATTTATGAGTTATTTTAAGACCCTGCAATACCAATCATACAGCATCGCGCCTGTCTATTTTCAACTCCTCCTTGTTCAATATACAACATAGTCCGCGTCCATTGCTCAATTTTATGAATTCACATAAAATCGTCCTAAAAACATAAAGAAATGCATTTTCCCTGTGCGGAAAATATACATCTTGTAGACAGAAATTATTAAAGGCTAACGCAGCAGCCGATCGGGTTCAAAATCAATCAGAAATTGGAGAACCTTTTTAAAACTGAAAGGCACTATTTCTTTCAACGTAAGTAGCAAAATGTACGTGATTTGCTATCAAATGAACAAAGGAAATAATATTTTCGTGCGAGTTTTCTAGATAATGTATTTAACTTTAGAAGGCCATTACAAATCGCTGTGAAACATGCAATCTATTTAACTGGTTATTTTTGCTAAGTGCAGTTTTCACAGGGGGTCGAGTAAAGTACATTCAAAAGCGAACATCCTGGCAAGTCCGAAATATTATAAGACTATGCGGCATAGTTATCAATATTACAATCTCGCCCATGTAACCCTTCTATGTTTAAAACGCATCTCAGAATCTCCGCCAACATTTAATGAGATCGGTCACCCACAGTATGTTAGTCTATAAAAAACGCAGCAAATATTTTTTAGAAAAGAATTGCGCATCTGCTTTCCATCTTTATGTCGTAAACGCATTTCCCTGCAATTTACCTGTTAAAAAACTCTTTAATGCCTACACAAATAGCAGATTAGCCATTGGAGAAGGTACAATTATACTCCGCCAAATATTTATGTTTCAGCACCCAAAAGGACATTGCTCTCTGAAGACTTTAATGATGGGGTTAAATTTAAAGATTGGCCAGTGCAACTATTAAGTTGCCAGCAGCTGGAATTGTGAAAAACCGCCCCCAGAAAGTCAGGCTGAGATTAAGCTGGAAATTTAAAATTAACCCATGCGCTTTCTCACTTTAGCAAAACACTTCTTTCGGTTGTTATAACCTATGAATGGACAGGAAATGGTGTATCAAACCGATGTTTTCTCGGTAATTTTCCCACATATTTTTGGTCGCTAGTGCCTGGCTTGCGGCCTTCTATGGATGCACGCGTAGCTTTTAAAATGTGTCCATGACCGCAAGCGGCTATCCATTTTGATGGCGACTTTCACAGAAATCTACAGTGTTTGTCTTTGTTGAAGCCCGCCTCGGTAGCTATGCATCTACCCACCTTCTATGAAAATATGTTTAGTTAGTGAGACTTTGGCATGAATGGCTTCTGTTTACATAAGTGTCGCTTTGCATCAAACCACTTTCCAAGTAGGTTTACTTTATGTTTACTTTGTTTCTTTTTCTAAAGGAATCGCCATTTTCAAGACAGAATTCAGGGTTTTATAGTAGGCACAGAAGAAGATGCCGTAGGTAAAAGGCTGACAGAACCCTGAAATGTATTTCCTTACTGATTTGCGATGACTTTATGAATTCAAATACATTTTATAAAAAATAAAG